AGTTGTGGAAGGGAACTAACAAGCTCCAAGAATCTGTCCCCTCAGGTGAGCGGGGAAACCAGTTTTGTTACATGGGATCAGTGGATCCACAGTTGCTGCAGGTCCCCATGCAAGGGATTCGTGAGCATGGCTGTTAGAAAGCAACGCTCCCAGAAGGCTCACGGTCTGGGAGCTGACTGTCCAGGCACTAGTTCTGAGTGTTCATATCCAGAGTTCTCTCGATCTCCACTCTTCGTGGCAGTGAAGACGCAGGCGAGCCAATCCAGCAAAAAAACACCGGCTTCAATAAACCGATGTTCTACCCTCCTGCACCGCACCCCCTCCGGTGTCGCACCGGCATCCCAATCCCAGATGTTCCGCGCTCCAAATTCTGGATCCCCAGGAAGCAAGGCCATCACAGGTACCGATTGCCTTTCTACCATCAACTTTCTTAACTGCTTAGTGTCCAATCCTGCCCTGGGTTGGCTTTTGACCCTTCCTGGACTCAGTCTGCTCCACCCATGATGTCCCAGAAAAGCTACTCCCAAAAGCAGTTGAGGGGATTAGATCCTTTGGCACATTATAAATAAAAATTTACATCAGTAGTAGGTCGTTATAACCTCTTCCCAGTGATGAGTTGGGGTTTTTTTAAGCATCGTACTAACCATGAGGTACAAAAGACCCTGTTTCAAATCCTGGTGTCACAAACTGAGGAGAGCTTCCTGACAAGGATTGGCATAGTGGCTTGTCAGGAATGGGGATTTTTGTTTGGTTTTCAGCTTTGTTTGGGATTTAGTGTTTGTTTCCCTCAAGGTGATATTTTCAGGGCTAGGCCTGTGCCTAAGGAAGTGAAATGAAGTACAGGTGTTTTCGCAGTGCTCCACTCCCCACAGGAACCACTGAGAGATAAGCCGGGCTCCAGCAGCAAAATTAATGGTACAGAATTATTACAGAGGTGTTAGAAGGCTCAGGTTAAGATTGGTCCTCCCATAGTCCCCGCTTCCTCCTTCCAAACAAGATCAAACCTTTAAAAAAAGAAAGGATAAAAAAAAAAAGAAAGCAAAGAGCACTGAAAAATACCTATTAATAGCAGGATGTGAGACATAGTGTTCACATGTCCAGGCAGCAGGGAAGCACTCTCTTAAATCTATGGGACTGATAGATACGTACTTCATCTCACTGCAGAAGGAGGGCTGGTTAGTCAGCTGGTGTTTAAACACCTCTGAAATGTCTGGCATGGACAGATGCTGAGTAGCAGAGGTGGCTGTGGTGGGAGAGGCCATGGGATGCTGAACAAGGATGCTTTTTGTTAGCTAATACACACAACTGCAGCTACCAGTGTTGCAGTGAGTGACCTGTCTTCTTACAGCTTGTGAGTCCTGAGATTTCGTATTGTTATTGCACCTCCTAAACATTTATATGATTTCGTTACTAATTTGAAGTCCATCCAGTTCAACCAAGTTAGGAGTTAAAACCTGAGAAACCTTTTTCATTATTTACTTAAACTTGCGACAACTTCTTCCAGTTTCACGTCTCTCACAAAAGCTGAGAAACTGGGAGCCTTCCTGGGTCAGAGGCCAGCTTCATCAGAGCAGTAACTGGGAAATGTTTTTTGTAAAGGCACTTTTTTCCCCCCACTTCTCTAATCCAAAAGTTTATCAGTACACTGGGTAAAAACTTTGAGCTGTTCTCTTCCTGTATGGAGGAAGGAATTGCATGATGCTTGAGCCTGGTAGATTGATCTTCAAGAAACTAATATTAGTCTGGGAGTCCTACCCTGTCTATCTGGTGCTGTCATTTCCATGGTGTCTTTCAAGGCAGTGTCTTGTACAAATGCAGCCTGAGCAGCTTCTTGAAGTTCTAGTACAAACGCATTGACCATAACCCCTGGCAGGAAGACAGCCTCCAGAAGGGATGCCTTACGAGGGCTGTGGTTAGAGACGTTCCACGTGGGCCTGGGTAATAGCAGGGACAGTGAAGTACAGCTCCACTGACAGTGTTTGCACAGACCTTAGTGGTGTGGCACTTTCTTTGTCTGCACAGGTAATTTTGCTTTGCTTTGCTTACAAAAGGTTCAGGTAAGAGGAAAGAAAGAGAGACAACTTGTGTCAGCTGCCCTCTCCTGTGTGGGAAGGACACAGTAAGTCCAAGGAGATGCATTAAACTGTTTTTTTCTTATTGCCAGACTTGAGGGGGAAAAAAAAAAGGAAAAAAAAAAAAAAAAGAAAAGTATAGGGGATGAGGACAAAACTACTATGCAGATTTTTTCCAAACATTTTTTAGAGCTCCAACTCACTTCCACTTGTGACATAAGCCAGGATTTGAACCTGGGTCTCTTGAGGGGATAGGCTGGCCTAATCCGTTTTGTTGTGGTCACTTTTTCCCACCGTGCCATCTAATTTTCTACTTACTTTAGGCATCTCATTCCTCTTATTTTTCTGTCAAGGGGGGTGGACTAGGTAATGTCTGCAGTTCCTTTTCAGCCCTATTTCATGTGATTCTGTTTTAACTGTTTTGACTACCAAGTTTTCCTGTTCTCCTGCATTTTAGAAAGAGTCAGGAATGTAGTAGATTTAGAATTTGAGAAGTCTGCTCAGGACTTGGAAGGGTCCACTAGGGATTGGCTGGATCGGAATTCATGGGCTGGGAGCTTCATGCACAGGTCTTTTCTAGCCACATCAGACATAAATTATGCCCATGTGTCTGAGCCTGCTTCAGCACAGGGAGTCTGGGAGGCTGCAGGGAGCTGGGGCCTCTTTTTGAAAGTCATGACAGCAGTTCTGACCGCTCCAATGGTCTGCAGAAATATGTCATGAAATAATGTTCTGATACCAATTTTCAACAGTCCCTATCACTCCTGAATAGAAAGACTTCTGTCCCCCAAGTCCCTCCCTATACAATTTGCATGCTGCTGGGCCCAGCAGAGCCTTGCTAAGCCACATTCAGATGAACCTGTTAGGTGACAGTGGACTCCACATATGGGAGGAGTCCATACAGCATAGTCCCTACATACTAGTTTGGCCAGTTCACCTTCAATTTATTGATTTCTAGTTTATCCTTTGAGTCGCTACAGTAAATGCATTTGCCCAGACATTGCAAACCCAGTTGAAGTGAGACGAGGCCTCACACCACTTGTGCTGTTGAACTTGTGCTAGGGCACACCACCTTGGGAAGGATGGGAGGCGCCTCAGCTGTGCTGTACAGTGACGTTTCGGGACACTGCGGCTACTGCCAGGGTCAGGAACCACCTCTGCCCACTGGAGGAGTCCTCCCATTACAGTTACTGGGAAATGCCCTGCGCCATTGCCAAGAGCACTGGCTGGCAGCACGCTGCGGAGGAGCAGGGCCTGCCTGCTTGGCCTTGGGAGGGCTGCAGTAGCAAGTTCACTGTTGGAAAGCACAGAGGGCCAGAGGATCTACTGCAGCTTTTCCAGACATCGTGGACAGGCTCTGAGACAGCCCTTCAGTCCTCCACTTGAACGCTTCAGGGGTGGTGTTCAGGAAGGAAGGCAGATTACTGGGAAGCACAGGGAGAGCTGGCATAGTGCTTCTGTAGGTGACGTGCTACATGTTGTGATGAGGACCTGAGTTCAGTCTGGAAACCCGGTCACCTGTGCCAGAGGCTTTAAGGGCTACTTATTGCCTTAAGGAAGAGTAAGATAAGGGTTGGGTTTTTTTGCAGGGGAGGAAGCCATGACCCTTCTGGTTCAGTCAGGACTGGTGTTCATGGGCTCCCTAAGAGCCAATCCAGGCCACCTCAGCCAGAAGGCATTCAAGAAAAATATCTACCTGTTATCCCTTCAGTGAATCTGGCCCATTTGCCTCCAAAACGAGGTATTTCACCTTTCTGCTGTATTCAGGGTATGCGATTATGTGGCACAGGAGCATGTTGTCTTGCCTCCTGTCTGTGTGGTTCTGCCTCCAGTATTGACCAGTCACCATCTCTGCTTTGTTCTCCACCCAGCAGAAAGTGCTTTCAGCAGGAGAGTGGAAGGCAAAGCGCAGAACAACTTTGAAGAAACAAACAGCAATTCTCAGAACTCCAGTGGTAAGTGTGTTCACTCCCTCCTGCTGTTGCTTACCACGTCCCTCTCCAGAGCAGGATTCAACTGTGATTGGTGATTGTTTATATATTTGGGGTACCTTCTTTAAGCTTGCAGGCAGCTAGCCTTCCTGGGGTAGTGCCCTCTTCTCACTCCTCCCCAGATTCCTGGCACTCCAAGCCTGTAAAAAAGGTGATATGGGGATCCTGCTCCCAAGGTCCAGGTACTTTAGCATAGATTTTTCAGTGGGAAACAAAGATGTAGAGAAAGGGGGATATGGATGGAGATAAAGCTGTCCTTTGTGCATCAGTGAAGTCCTTGTGAAGCAAAGCCATTTGCAACAAGTAAGAGAAGTTGAGGACTATGAATGGAACAGCAGTTTGCATCTTACAGTGATGCGAAATGTGGCAGTTTATTTACGTGTTGCTGTAAGCAGAGTCCAGCTGCTTGTGAGTTCACTGCATGGAGGCCAAGTGTACCGGGTGTGTAGATGTGGAACCAACATATATGTACTAGAAGGAGTTAAAATTCACTCCACTTCTGGAGTTCTCTTTGAGTTTTAAGTCTGAGTGGTAGTAAATAAACAGAACCACTGGCCTAGACAATTTTGTTTAGGTGTACCATTTATGGAGTTTTCTTTGCAAGATTTTTATCCCGCCCATGTATCCCCCTGCCTTCAAGTGGGACACTGCCGTTCTCTTATGCTCCCTAACTGAAGCATAACAGACAGACCAGATGAAATGAAATTTCGGCATCTTGATGCGGGGATAAGTAACATGCCGGCAGAAAAGGCTGGCCTCCCTCCATTCCCCATTCAGGAGTACCAAAACACGTGGTGTTCACAACACCACTAGCTGTAATGGACGGGTACGGGAAGGGATTTCTCCCTGGAGCAGGTTACACAGCGACTTTTGTGGGGGTTTATGTGTGCCTCTGAAGCAAGTAAGGGCCTTTCTGGAAGCATGTTGAAAAGGAGTGAAGTAGTGTTGGAAAACCCATGTGTGGTAGCAGAGTGGGTGATAGTGAATGGGAAAAACATTGTTTGTTGTTAAAATACTGCATATTATGTTTTGGGGAACAATCCTGTACTAATCCAAGCATTCACCACAATTACAGCTGTTCATTCGGGGACAGAAAAACCTAAAGAAAAGAGGTGTAAGCAGAACCCATCAGGTGAGCTTGTCTCTGTGTTTCAGGCCCTTGCACGCCTTAGTCCTGTTCCACTTGAGTAGCAGCAGTCAGGATTCCTTAGAGGCTGCCCAGTCTGTCTTCAGTCAGCCCAGCCAGGCTGTTAGACATGACACAGAACAGCTTAGTTCACTGACTGCCAAGAGCTGCTAGCCTGACTTGCTGCTCTGAAAGTGGCCACTTGCCTCTCAGCAGGTCTGCTCCTCGTGTCTTGTCTTCTGTGGGTAGTGGTGAGTGGTTTGTCAGAAGGGTTTCAAAGCCTTTGAGTGCACATCTTTAAATGCCAATATACTGTTTGGGTTCCTAACTCGTCTGGGGCCCTTTGAAAGCAGCAGCCTTAGGTTATTTCTTTTTTATTCCTGTCAAGCCCTATATGGCCTACAGAGGAAGGACAGAAGTATCTTCCTTCATGTCAAACAGCTCATCCCCACAGCCAAGAAAGCTGCATTGTAAAACCTTCTGGCTGTAAACCTCCTCTTGTTAAGCTTTGCAGGAGGGGAAATGAGCCTGTAGCGTGGGAGGGGGTCCAGGAACCACTGACAAGAAGCACACACCAAGAAAGAGTGGCTGTATTGAATAGCCCAAGACTTTAGTTCTGTCTGAACTGCTGTTAAATACTGACCCATTGTTGCTGTGACACATCTCACAGATTCTCCCTGCCATCTCCTTGTACCAGCTCACATCACACTCATCCTTCTGAATCTGTTTCTATCTGAACTGCAACATTTAAAGCACATGAGTAAAAACTGACAGTAAAAATCAAAACAAAGCCAGAAATTCTTACAAATTGAGTAGTGAGTTTCATATGATTTGCTTGTCTTTTTTCATTGTAAGAAGTCTTTCTGTCTGCACCACATGTATGGTCAGTTTATTTTAGTGGCTTACTCTAGGGCCTGGCTGGCTGCAGGGAAGTTGCAAGGTGCTCACCTGAACTTTTGTTTGAGCCAGGAAGCCTGAGGAATTGAGTGAGCTGCTCAGGACTGGTTTGAGGGTAGTTGGGCTCTGGCTGGAAGCAGTTCTTTTCTACATTAAGCAGCTGACACACTCCTCAAATCCAGACTGGTGCATGGGGATGTATAAACTTCTTCCCTTTTCCCCTTTCCCTTATCTGTCCCGCATCCTCTTTTCTTCCCCAGCCCTGTTTTCCCCTCCTTGACTCCGTCTTTGCGCTGATTCCAATGTCTCCCATTCTGTGCTCTTTTCCAGCTCTTGCACCAAGCCACTTCTTCTCTTTTATTGCTTCACATTCGCAGGAATCAGTCTAAATGTTCTCACCGATAGCAGCCTGAGTGAGCATCCCCCTGTCACACTGTGAATGGCACTGGTGATTAGAGAGGCCACGGAAAGCTCTGCGGTCATCTGCATGCGTGGGTGTCCAAGCAGAGCTCTCGCTAACTTCTTGTTTGAAGAGCTGACATGTCCTTACCTCCCCATTTTCTTTCTTTCCCTGGCTGTGTTTCAGTAGGTGGGACAAACTCTGTGTGGCTGTGTTCATATGTAAGATGCGAACTCTTGGGAATAATTCTGTCATTGTTGGCTTGTCCTCTCTTGTGCCCCAGCCAGCAGATTTCTCATAGGCGGGGAAGCAGCTGGTGATAATGTGGTTGAGAATGACAGAAGGACAGACAATTCCGTCCTCCCTGCTCCCATCTGCTGCTTATCACCAAACTCCTGCTGCTGAAAAGAACAGTCCTCAGGTTTGGGAAGTAAATGTAGGTCCCAGCTGAGCAGCCTGAGAGCTGTGTCGCTTGGCTTTGTTAAATGTTTGAGTCGCTGTACCACTTGCTCTTCGTGGACCTGAGTTTCATATCACAGGCTCAGTTATAGTGGTATCAAGCAGAGCAGCAGGATTTTTTAGACCACCCAGTCGAGTACATTA